CCAGTTCTGAGAAAGGACCACCTGTAGGAGCTGGGAAGGAGGGTCGGGGTGGGTGTGCTGGGAGTGCAGCCCCGCAGCCCCGGCCGGGATTGCCTGCTCCATCCCCACACTGGCACCCACCGGGCACCCCTGCCAGCTCCCTCTCAGCTCATATTGGTCAGGTTGGCAGTGAGAGCTGGGAGAAACCTCCTCAGCAAGATTTGCTGCTCTCACTTGTGCTCCTGGCTTTGTGCAGCGCTGCCCGGGCTGCCTGGCCTTTAGGAGGAAGGTATAAACCCGGTGGAGAGCAGCCTGGGCTCCACTGACAAATCCCACTGGCATTCAAACACAAATGCAGGCTTAAAACACTGGAAAAAAGAAATGCTGCCTGTTCTGAATCACAAAAGCACAGTCCACTGGCACTTGGGCCTCATCTGCTTCTTGCTCTGCCGGTACCCTGTGCCCCGGGGACACGGCTGCTCAGGTGATGTCCCTCCCCTTGGGGCAGTGCCTCAGACCTCCCCAGGTGTCCCCGGACCAGCTCCTGTCCCATGCAGGATGATCAGTGTGCTCTGGGTCTCTCCTTTTCTGACCAGCTGCTCCATTTCCTACTGCAGAATTTCTTTTTTCTACCTGAGAGATGCTGGGATGCTRTGCCCTGTCCTGGTCCCCTGTGCTCACCCAGCAGCCAGCGCTGCTCAGCGCAGCCCGGGACCCACGCAAAACCTCAGCAATTCCCCATTCTCATTTTTAACCCCTCGGGAAGCAAATTCCCCCGGGCTCAGCCAGGTAGCGAGGCTGCGCTTCGGGCCGGGGGGAGCTGGCGATTGGCGATTTGGGAAGGAACCATTTGGTGACCACCTTGTGTGASCATCTGTAACAGATTACGGTGTCAGCGCTCGTAAAAGCCGCGATTCAATCAAGCGCCCGGCAGGTAGCGGTTCCCCGCTGGCCGGSCCCGCTCCGGGAGCGCTCGGTGCGGCTCCGGCGCTGCTGCGCTGCCATTCGAGCGTTTGAACTCCGCTCTTTCATTTCCACCGAGCTCCACGGGACCTTTAAACCAGCACGTTCGTCCCTCAGCTCCTGGAGCCCTTTCAAAGGCTCCAGGGAAACCACAAAGCGCCTTTTCTTCCCAGAGAGGAGCAGTGTTTTCCCTCCTCCCTGASCCGATGGAGAATTAAGGGTGTTGGGAAACCCTCGGTGCCGTGGGAGCCCCTGGGGCAGACCCATGTGGAGATTCCGGGTTAAAAAGGGCTTTAAGGCTTCCATGCCACCCTCTGAACTCATCCTGTGCTGTCTGTGCAAGCATCCGGAGCATSCCAGAGGGGATGAGAAGGGAAGCAGAAGGATTACAGCCAACTTTGCAAAGGCTAAACCTCATCTCTTCGGTCATTTGGGGACTGAAGWTCCCAAAATTGCCTTTTTCACCCCTTTCAGTCCCCAACCTTCCCAAGGACAGGCACAAGGCACAGCTGTCCCTTGTGCTGTAAGGGTAAAGAGGAGCTCTGCGGCCCCCCAGAATGTCTCCTCACACCTTCAGGGCAGTRGAAAGGAAAAGATTTTCCACTTTCTTCTCCTGTGATTGCAAACCTATCTGATAGAAATGTTCTTCCCATGATTCTGTCATCTCCTGTACCCCCACAGCCTCTGCAGGACATTTCCAACATCTGAGCATGCAGYCCCAGAGAAGACAGCCAAAGCTCAGCCTAATTCTTCTTTTGGCTCTTACCTTAGCGAGAAAAAGCTGAACAAACAAACAGAAACGGGGCCGAACCCAGGGAAAGGCCCTTCCTGAAGCCAATCACTGTTTCTGGTTTGGGGAAGAACTGACTGATCTCTGTGGCACAAGCTGGGACGGCTCGTGGGGTGATGGGCAGAGACAGCACAGGTTTCCCACCTGAGATCAGGGGGATGCTGGAGTTTTTGGAGGCTGTGTGAGGTTTTTCCTGTCGGACAAGGGTGGCAGGTGCCGGTGCAGGGCTCAGCCTGTCGAGGGCTGTCCCGGTGAAAGCCTCTGTCCATGAACAGCRGGGCTCGCAAACACACTGCAGGTGTAGCTATTGTTTTCCTGCATCTGGGCTGTTGACGTGAGCAATAATCTCAAATTAATCTTTAATCGGATGATGAACTGATAGCGTGGGGCTGGGGAGGTGAGAACCATCCCATGCAGACAAAGCACACCAAATGCAGAAGGACGGAGCCAGGCAGACCTGGGGAGGGGATGTGGGGCCAGAGGGTTAAAATAAAGGTGATGTCTGGTGGGCTGGGTGGCAGTGTCACCCTGGTCCTGCACTGTCTGTGCTCAGSTCTCTCAGTGAGTGTCCCCTGCCTGCCCAGAGCAGGACAGGGCACAGGACAATGCCTGGACAGGGCTGCACCGTGCCCAGCACAGCACTGACCACTGCCATCGTGCTGATATGTTTGACACCTTTACCTGAGGATGGACAGTGGCACCAGGGCCACCAGCACACACAGCAGTGCCCGCTGTGCTCCCCACAGCCAGAGGTGCCAGAGGGAGCCACCAGCCTGGGCTGGGCTCTGTGACAGCCACGCTGGGCTCGAACCTCCTGGAGAACTGCCTAGAAAACCATCAGAAAGTATTTAGAATCTAGCATAGCATACATATGTATGGCTCACCCTCTGTTTTACTGGGCTCCCTGAAAGCAATGCGAGGCCTGTTTTACTTCTCCCAGTAAAAAGGCTCACGTTTCACATGGAGGAGATTGGCGGCTCCCGAGCTCATTAGCCCGGGTTTCCCTCCACCTCCGCATTTTCCACGCAGGGTTATGCTGGCGACACTTTGTCTGTGGCTGCTCCGGGAGGAGCGTGCTGCACTTTGAGCCTCCTTTTTCGCGCTGTGCTGGAGGCAGAGCGGGGCAGGGCGAGGAAGTGGCGGCGTGTTGTGGC